TTATTAGGTGTTCTGAGTCTTTTTTTAGTCTGTTGCTATGTGGTTGCTAGGTCTCTATGATATTCTGGTTTCTAGATACAACTCCTTCCGGGTCCGGTTGTACCATCTGTCAGGCGAAATCATACATTCAATTGCTTCAAGTAATATTACACCACTTAACTGTAGCACAAATAGTGCTGGATGATGTGTTATGTGCCAAAGTTTGTTAGTTATTGTTAGAGGTTTGTTTAAATCCTTAACTATAAGTATAGCAATAGCAATGGTGATGTTTGTTGTGTGTTTGTGTTGAAAATACTGTCTGACTGATTCTTAGTTACTGAGCAGTTTACTGGAACCGTAATCATGATCTTTACTACTGTCTTTCATTCACTAAAGCATGTGTGTGTTTGTATGTCCACCCATAATCTCTTTTCTCTGTCACACAATCCTTCCTTCCTCATTGATTTATTAGCAATCCCAACAATTCAAACATGAGTAAACCAATTCCTTGGCCCCCTCAACCGGTTTACCACCAATGAAGGAAGTCAACACTGTTAGTCATGTTTGTCTTTATTAGCATGAGCGCACATGTGTGGTCGTCACGTCAAGTGTAAGGAACCGTTGGCAAATAACTAATGAAAAAGCAAATAGTAAGGCCAATAAAACTCATTTAGGATAGGACTTTATTACATCACGCTGACGTTTCGTGATCAATGACTTTGGGGGTACAAAAAGGCTTGGAATAAAAACCAGACAAGAAGCGTTGGACGACTGCTAGAGTGCTACAAGAACATCAAACCGAGGGTGAGTGAAGTTTCTGAATGAGCTTTTGATTGCTAGGAAAAATGGTTTGTCTTTCACCACTAAAAGTTCTCGTTTTTCATCTTTTTAAGGTGTGGAAATGTCTCTTCTCACAAGTCTGACGCAAGTGTCCATCCTTGCGATATTTTTCATCCAGTGCGCGACCAGCCTTCCGGTTCTGGGCAGGTCAGGTCACGTTCAGCCTCAAAAATGAATTGAATTTTCAACCTCAATCTGATCTTCTGAGCTGTTTCTGAAATAAAAAAAGTAGTAGTGTAGTTCCAGGCCTGTCAAATCTTATTAGATCTTTATCTCTTTGTCCTTGCATGATTTTCTTCTGTTCATTTTTGTTTCTTCCTTCCACTTTCTCAAGTTCTGTCTGGAGGTGATAAGAGATTCAATTCTCTTAGCTTATGTTGTTTTTTCTGAAGCAAACATACCAAATAAACTTTTTTTCCCACAGTTTCACAGTTGATGTAGCGGCTCATTTATGATTTGACCTTTATCACCACAGGTATCTCGGAGAAGAGGACAGCATCTCAACAACGGACATCTTTTCACCTAGAAAGGTGTTATTTCCCAGGGATGATGCAGATATGCTTATTGATGACCGAGACGGGTGGGTCTCATAAACTTTTATTGTTAATAAACAAGTCACTTTTGTGATACTGTTAGATCCATGCTTATTTAAGTGCAGGCCACCCCCTTGTGGAGAACACTGGCTCTGGCTTGTATTAATTGATAAACTTTTAAAATTAGATATTTTTTTGGAAATAACTCGCATATACTTGTCATATTTGAGTCATTTGAATCAACACTTTGACATCGAACCCGATCCATATCTCCAGGAGATCTGGGCTTCACACGAGGCAGTTGGGCGACATTGAGTTCACAAACAGATATGCTGAACTCCTCAAATCCAAAGCTAAAATCACATCCATCTGTGCCTTCCTGAAACGCATGCAAAGCAGCAAGAAAAGGTAAAGCCTCCGCTAACCCGCTATGCTCACCCTAAACAAATCTCTCAAAAGCATCATTTGATTTGACATTATGTATAGTTGAGAAATGTAAGGGAAAGTTTCAAGTATAGCATTCTCTGAGCAGTTAGCAAACATAGTTTTCTCTTAACGTCTAATGACTTTCTGTAAAGTGCATAGCTTTTCTCTTAGCAATAAGCTAACCCAGTTATGATATCAGTATACAAAATGATACTTAGCAATATGTTTCAATACATAACGTATAGTTTTGCTCTCAAATGATATATTCTAGCTTGAATGACATTTCATGCTCTGTGTGTTTGCAGCGGCGTCGGTGGAGAAACAGACAGATTGATTTCCCTGATGAGACAGTATACATGTCCAAATGTGTACCAGTGAAGACTGGCTTCATGTCCAAGAAACTTGAAGACAGCAACTTCACACTGTTTTAATCAGTTTTAACATGTTTGAGACAAACTGTTTGTATATATTTTAATAATTAATGACTTTTTTCCTCCAAATGTGTCTCATAAAACTGCAGATTCAGTTGCAGTCAATAACATTTCAGATGCAAATTAAACTCTGGATTTGAGAATAGTGTCTTGGCTTGTTTATGAAACCACACCTTTAGCTCCTCAAAGGCACATGCTGGTTTATAAATTTAACACTAGACAATAAGTTCATGAGCATTTATGAGAGCTTTATAGTAGTAAAAAGCTTTCATGCTACTATATAATGTGCATGACTCACAAGATCATAATTAATATACGACCAATCACAGACTATTGTAGATTATATGAGGTCACCATAAACAGACATGGTATGTAAAGAGGGATTTTATAGACATATATTTATATATGGTTCAAAAATAGCATAAGAGCAGATTTATTGAGAAGATCTTAACGCTACATGAATATGGTAATCAAAGTGACATACATGCACTGTTAAAAAAATTCCGTAAAATTTACGGTAAAAAAAAACGGCTGCTGTGGTTGCCGGAATTTTACCGTAAGAAATACGGTAGCAACATTTTAGGTTTTACAGTTTTAACTTAAATTTACAGTTAAATACCATAATTTAATTAACTGATATAATGTTAATATATCAACCTAATGAAGTACTAAAATCTGTTTTGTACCTTTGTGATACACTGATAACCACCTAATGCAGGTGGTGATGAGAAAGTCACATGATGAACAAAAGCCCATCACAAGCTTTTAAATAACATATATAGAAGGTCATTCACACAAACACTAAACGCCATCATGGTAAAACACATGAAACTAAAATAATGCAATAAACATTCATTTAACAACATTAGGTGTAACACACAACCCTAATATACAAAACTGATAGGAAAAATCAATTTACGGTTATTCACTGTAAATTATACGGTCGTTTTTCACTTCCAAAAACGGTATACTACTGTAAAATGACATGTAATGTCCAATACAGTTTTTCACCGTATATAGTAGGGGAATTTACCGTTAACCATTTAACAGGTTTTTACTGTAGCATTTTTTACAGTCTTTTACTGTTAAATTCACTGAAATTTTTACAGTGTGGGTCTTTCCTGTATTTGGTGCCTTTTGAACATAAAATGTATAAAATCTAACTGTTTTTAAAATAAACTTTTGAGTAATCATCATAGGGAGATTTTGTTCAAGCTTAGGCAAATAAATGCAAGCATTTATGAAACAAAAGACTAAAAATGTCCACCCTGTTAGGGACAGATACTAATAGAAGTTCTGTAAACTTGTTTCATTTGAAAATATTTCCTTCAATACAGTTAAACTCCACTCATTTATTTTGTTATACTGTTGCTGAAACTTAACTGTATTGATTAAGCAGGATGGGAACTAGAAATCTGCTGTAATTGATTCAGTCCGAGTTCTGCTTAATATAATCTGTAGTTCACATACCTTTTTCTATTATATAAGCTATTCTATTATTATATTTATAAATTCATGTCCTTTTGTTCATTTAAAAGCTGGTAATAAATCTGGTAACAAGTTATTAAAATATACCTAAAATGGGGAGGGGAATAATCACAGTAATTGTTGTATTTTTATTTTAAAATGTTTCCATTTTTAAAAAAATATACTTCAATATGCATAAAATTCAAATTATGTTTTTTTTATGACTAATCTTTAAATTTATATTGTTTATAACGGTAAGATCATATTCTGTACATGGGGACATGAAGGCACCCGATACCATGAATGACCCACATACAGTAAACCTATACAGTATTACCTCAACAGTACTTTTATTGTAAGCAAATTATGAGAAAAAACAACTTGTATTGGGTTTAATATCCTCAAACGTTTCTCAGTATAAAATTCCAACAGCGTAACGAGTTGTTTGCTATGACGTTCGTCATGCTAATGCTGTTTTAAAGAAGAATGTATGTTGTAGGTAGGTCTAGCAGTAATGTCTTTATCGCATCTTTCATCAGTTATGTGTAATAATATAACAAGATACTTACGTATTACGGTATATGAGTCAGATAAGATTGCTTCAATTGGTTGTTTGAAGATTACCGTTACCGTAAGTGAAACCTATACGCCCACTCATGACTAGCTACTAGCATGTGAAAAAAAAAAAAAAACTGAAGAATTAATTTATGCTTTTTTTAGCTAGTTTATTTCCGTCATAAAGTCATAGAAGCACTTGAATTTGCTTCTAGTGCGCATTATTGGTTTATTTATAGTTGACGAAGTTCCCCATTTGTGGCACTTTTTGTTCAGGAATAAGGAATAAAATAACAGCTTTGCGAAATTTGAGCTAAAACATCTTCAACATTTAAATTAATCACCGAAAAACACAATTTGTAAATTCTCCAATGCAGTTCTTAATACTTTTAACTTCAGTTGTATTTTACAATGTCTGCCTCACATTTGAAGATGGCCTGAATATAACATTTTGGGAACAACACTGATGCTAACCATCTGCACACAACTAAAAATATTGTTTTGTAAACATCATTCTTCATTGTGATCATGGTTTATGAGATGTACATGCACATGTAAAGCAGCTGTGTTCATGTCTGAGGCAAAAGTCCACCTGTGCTCATCTTTATAGCCAATAAATCCGAGATAAGCGTCCGTCTCAAAGGTTAAGCTTGAAGTCGGTTTCTCATATTAGCTATTGCTAACAACTGCTTGATGGGAATATGATTCAGTCGGAATAAAGGGATTCGTCTTCGATATTCCTTTATTGATCCATCACCTAACAAGAAAAATGGATTTGAAGCCTAAAGGATCTGCTGCTGTTTTCGTTCTCCTGGTTCTTTTCACACTCAGCAAGTTCAGCGAAGCGCAAAGTAAGTGCTGAAAGTTTGAGAATGAAAATTCTTACGTAATCAGGTTTTCTTTTGTAGGCTGAAAGAGTTCAGAACATGAACTTTCCCCAGTTATGTGACAGCTGACTAGTTAGTTATGTTTGTTATGATCGTATATAGACTTAAAAAAAACAGATGTTAAGACACTTTTGGAAATGTTATTCTTGAAAGTATTAAAATTTCAAGTTGTGAGAGTTTGCTAGTGTTGTAGTTATTGTTAACTGTATACATCAAGGCAATTGTTTCAAGGTTAATTCAGGAAATGTATTGATTTTATTATAATATTATAAGTGAGTGATCAATGTTTAGGTTTAATCACCTTTTTTACAACCACAATTTTTACAGTATAGATTTTAGAGTAAGATGTGCATATGTTTTACCATAGATATGGTCTTATTATTTCAAGCAGTATTTCAACTTTACACAAAACTATTATTTTACATGAATTAGAAGTACATTACACACTCCAGAAATTTATTTTCTATATTTGTATAAAATGTTTTTCCAACCAATTTAAGATGACTTGAAATGCTTGAATTATAGGCGTGTTTGAAGAAATCCTACCAAGTGAATTTGCTTTGTTTCTTTAGCAGTTTTTTTTCAGTCATCATGAATTTTATTTTATTTTTTTTGCTTTGTATTTTCTAACATTCACGTTTTTCCAGTGTCAACCAGGACCATTCATGAAAATGTAATTCTGATTTTTTTTTCTGAATGACAGACCTTTGCTCGGTGCCAGATAATTTGCTGGTAATTCTTATTCCGGAAAACAACGCTATTGGAGTCGTAGTTACAACACTCAATGCTGAGGATGGGGTGATGGCCAGAATCACTAGTCAAAATCCAGAGGGTTTCTTCAGCATCAGTGGATACGATCTCATTGCTGAAACTGTGCTGGACTATGAGGTTAATGTTGTATATCTTATAAAGTGTCTGGTGTTCAGCCAATACACTTTAAATTGATCATTTCAACGCCTGTTTCCTGGGATGTAAAGTACAAAGTACATTTACTATTTTAATATGTAAAATCCATTTTACAACTTATATATGTTTCAATTAAATTAAGTGCTTAATTTTTGTAAAGAGATGTCTCTTCACTCAACATTAGTCTTGATCTAAACTGGGTTTGGTTGTTTTCTCAATTACCACTTCAATTTAAGTAAGTTTAAACTTAAACGTATTTACTAATCAGGTATCTGGGTTTTAGGATTTCAGTTTAACATGATGTAGTTTTATTGTCACAGCATTGTAAAAACTGTGATTTAAACAGCACAGCATCACTTATTATAAGGATGAAATTCTTGAAATCTTGATATTAAAAAGCTAATAAAAATTGACTTTTAAATGCGTATATATACAGTATCTCACAGAAGTGAGTACACCCCTCACATTTTTTATGATTTCATAGTTTTGAATTGGGTAAAATTACTTAATACTTTTTTGACGTACTTATTTCTCAGTACTTTTACACCCTTACCGGTGTCCTAGCTATTCTAGTTAAAAAACTAGAAATGTGTAGTTTTAAAGATGAAATTTTTGCCTCAAGTAAATGAGAGCATTTTAATATTTCAAAGCAACCATTTAATTCAGATCCATTTCAAATGCTGTCTGTACAAATTAACAGACCTTTTATGTTTTGTTATTTTCTTAGACATTTAACCCGAGCAAACCTCATGAGGTGCATATTGAGTGTACAAAAGCTGGCTCTCTCTCTGTAAGTAAACTATTCAAGTGGTGTTTTAATTAAGTGAACCTAAAAAAAAACTTCTTGCATTGTAAAGGATTTATTCAACCTCAATTCTTACTTTTTTTTTTTTTTTTTAAATGTTTGTTTTCATGTTGGTTATTGAGGTCCTGCATGTGATATTTGTATTTTTAGACCACACTGAATCTGAAAATAGCTGTTGAGGATGTAAATGATAATCCACCAGTGTTTGCATACAGTCAATACACACTAAACGTTGATGAGGTACTTTTTTCTTAAACTTTTAATGTTGCATTTAATTCTGTTCATCTATCTGTTTTATCATGGCCAATTTTTTAAGATCTGAAAACTTTTACTGATTTTTGTAGTTGTCAAAAGTGGATACCAGTGTTGGCCTGATCACAGCAACCGATCCTGATAAAAATGATAGACTTTACTACCAACTGGATTCTCCTGAGGTACAGCTGTGTCCCCAATACACCTTCTGAGACAACAAAAATCCCAAAGAATGTGCATATAGAGTTTTTATACATTGTATTTCATGGTATACACAAGTGTCCTCTTGGGAATTATGTTCTGAAGGATCTTCTTTTTGGAATTCTAAAAGAGAATTCCCCTTGAATGTTGGTTCCAAATTATTATAGGAATTCCAAATGGAATCCCATTCACAATGTTGACCTTTGTTCTCTCTCAGGGAGAATTTGCCCTGGAGGCCGATTTCAATCCCAACATTCTGGTGAAAAAGCGTCTGGATTATGACGAAGTTAAAGAAGTCACAATGATGCTATATGTGCAGGTAAGTTTATCTGACCCAGGTTTAATCTTCAAAGATGCTTCTTTTTGTACAAACAACTTCCATTTGATGACTTTTCAGGACACACCGATTGGATCTACAGCTGAAGTCTCCCACACTGCCTCAACCACCATTGTAGTCAATATCATAGACATTGACAATCGTCCACCATGGTTCCAGCCCTGTACAGAAACTGAGATTGACACAAGCAAAATCTGCTTGATGTCTGGTTATAACGGGAATGTCAACTTAAACGAACAAGCGGTGAGTTTTCTATCCAAAGCACTTGTAGACAGAGGTCTGATGTTGAGTTAAACCATTTTAAATGTTATATAGCTATGATTATTTCAAGGTGCCCCAACAAACACCAACACACATTATAAAGTTGTCTAATGGATGTAGAAATATCAGGAAACATCTCATTGGATCAGTTTGTTGGGGCAGTGTGAGTTAGCCGAAGGTGGTGGATAGATTTTGAGATTAGCGTGTCAAATGAGAATATGAATGTTGATGTACACCACAGCCAGGTCCTTTGTCCTTGGAGCCAGGTCCACTCTTGGCCATTGATGGTGACAACGGCAGGAATGATCCTATTGTTTATATATTTCTTGGAGGTGAGATATTTAATTGTCTATTTTATTTTCCTTATGCGTTGAAATAAAGAACTTCAGGACGAGTCGACAGGTTTTAATTAGTACGTTTTACATGTTCAGGAAATGAGGGAGGTATATTTGAAATCAACACTGACACCGGGAGCATCACAATGCAGGAACCAGTAAAAGAAGCAGGAACAATTGTTCTTTCAGTCATGGTGAGAGAATTTTTTTTTTTTAAAGAAAACCATTCTGTTTTGAATGTTACATGCAAACAAAATCTGCATTTTGGAGCCACTGTACATATTATGTATGCTCTTAAAAATAAGGGTTTTTGGCATTGATGGTTCCTTGAAGAACCTTTAACATCCATGGAATCTTTCCATTCCATAAGTGATTCTTTGGATTATTAAAATGTTCTTCACTCTAAGAAAAAATGGTTCTTTTAGGAACTGTTCACTGAGAGGTTCTTCGGGGAACCAAAAATGGTTCTTCTATGGAATCGCTGCAAAACCCACTTATAATAATGGAACCAAAATTTGAAAACCCCAACCAAATTTCCCCTCTGTCTCCTTAGGCATATCAGAAGGAGAACGTTGATCAGTTTGCCACCACTACAGTCATCCTGAAGGTGGTGGAATCCACCAATTTCCCTCCGACCTTTGTGAAGTCCAGTTATGAAGGCTTTATCTCAGAGGATGCGGGTGTGGACAGCCTGGTGCTGGAGAGCAAAACATCCAACAGACCCCTCAGAGTACAGGCTACAGATGAAGACTTTCCTAGTGTAAGAACTCAGAGACAAACAGCATTTTAGTCTCTGCATGTGTTCAATTCAAGATGCAGAATTAATTTGTAAAGTACATACAAAACACATAGAGCAGGATAGTGAAAAGTTGTGTAAATCAATCAGAAAGAGTTTTTACATAAACATTTGCATTGGTTTTATGGACCTCAAGTCATTCTTGCATACATATTTGCACTGAATTGATTCGTTTTGTAAAACCATTCTTATAGAAATCATCACGTTTAATTCAATGCACATTCATTTTTATGTAAATTCATGGATGGAATATTTTGAATTGAATTGTTTGTCACATTTTACATAATTTCTAAAAACATTCTCGCGTAAACTGTTGCCTTAAAATCAATGTTCAAAAACATTCTTTCATAAATCATCACATTCTATTCAATATTCATAAAACCATTCTTAAGTAAATTCTTGGATTGAATTAAATAGTCTGTAAAACAATTTTTACATAAATTGTTGCATTGAATTGAATTGTTTGTGAAACTCACATTTCATTGAATCATTCCTTTAAAAAATCTTGGGTAAATTTGTTGCACTGAATTAAATGTTCATAAAACCATTTTTACATATATATATTTTTACTGTGAACTGAATTGTTTGTTCAAAATTAAGCATTTAATTGAATCGTCTTAAAAACTATTCTGATTAACCATTGCAATAAATTCAATGTTCGTAAAACCATTCTTATATAAATTGTCACATTCAATTCAATATTCATAAAAATATTCAGTAAAATGTTGCATTAGTTTTACCAACTTGTAATTCATTCTTACATAAATCACATTGAATTTAATAATTTGGGGTAAATTAAATTCAATGTTTGTAAAACAATTTTTAATAAATCGTCACATTCCATATTTGTAAAACCCTACATACATAAATTCTTGGATTGAAATGAATAGTTTATAAAATCATTTTTATGTAAACACACATTGAATGAAATAATTTGTAAAACCACTGTTGCATTCAATTCATTGTTAGACCTTACATAAGAATGTTTTTAATGATTTATACAAATGTTTGCTGAATGATGCCTATTATTGTAATATTTCTGGTGTTAAGTGCTGGATTTCTTTCTTTGTAGGGCATTAATCCTAACCTCAGATTTGAGATTGTTGACGGCACTGACTTCTCAATCACTCAAGAGGGTTTCATACTCATGGCGAAGGCAGTTTCCCCAGGCCCTGTAAATTTAGAAGTAAGGACTTAATATTTCATACAACATTTCATGCACTTTAGACATTAGACTCTAATTGTTAGTGTGTGATTTGAAACATTTACGACCATATTATCCATCGTGACTCAGATGAGGGTGGTTGACACAACCAATGAAGAATCAAGCACCGCTTCTCTTACGGTTGAGGTCACTCCAGGTAAGACCAGACCAATACTGCACGCTCTTAAGACACCATCTAAATATGACATGATACAATCCAATAAGGAATAATCAGAAAAGTGGGCTAATCAGGGTACTTTCTGGACATCATAGCTTTTAGCGAACAGTTTGAGCTTTTGGTGATCTTCACATCAATCCTTTTTCATTTCAAGCCACTTAAGGGAAACTTGCATAAATAGTACAATATGATTGGCCCATAAACTGAATTTCAAATGATTCACTTGAATCAGTCAACAACAAAGCTCTTGACTGGTGACACCATTTTTCTTCAGGGGTTCCCACTACCACTCCTGCCACAGCTATCATGACTTCATCCATTATAACAACAGAGAGCACTGCTAACACAAAGCTAACAGAAATCACCACCGCCACCTCGCACCCAGGTATCACCACAACTACGCGCCCCAGCACAGGTACACTTACGCTAAGCTAACTAGCATGCTAAATCTTCTGGTGTGCTGTGTCGTATGCCATTTTTGAAATGACATACCATCATAGCACACTATAAAAATATTCATGAATCTAGCACTGCAGTGTCAATCACATGGAATTTGCTCAAGGTTGCATGCTTTATGCTACTGACACTTTTGAATACTGGCTATAGAGGGCTGCAGTGATGGCGTTAGCATCACTCTAGTTCACTCTGGATTTTTCCATTAGCATTTGGAATATTGCAGGAAATAAGATCCGTGACCAACAAAGGTTTTTGATTCTTACATGTTTTGTTCACACAAATGAACACAATTTTGAAGCCTAAACACAATCGCCAGAAGCTAATGCAGGTTGTAATTGAACTACACCATGGTTTGCATGACTTCAACGTCACTGCTAAGCTTCTGACAACTTTCAATCTTTATTTAAAAGTAATTTTCCCTGAAAGCTTGAGTTATACCTCTGCAAATGACTTTTTCAAGCCAAGTTTCAAGCTTTTTAAAAATCACAAAGTAGTATTACTAAAGTACTTTATGTTGTAGAATGAAACATGAAAATATCTTGAGCTTTTGTTAACCACAGACCTTATTTCAGGCATTTCACCCAAAATCCATTCGAAAAACCCATTGACTTTGGGACGATGGAACCAGAAGTGCTAAAATGCTAACTTGTTTCTGGGGTTTGGCCTACAAAAATAGTAAATGCATCATCCCTGCAGCACTCTATATGTGACCCTGGACCATAAAACCAGTGTTAAGTCGCTGGGGTATATTTGCAGCAATAGCCAAAAATATATTGTATGGGTCAAAATGATTGATTTTTCTTTTATGCCAAAAATCATTAGGATCACCGCATCAAGGGCCATAACGCAGACTGGAAGAAGCTTTCTGAGGCTAGCGTCTTCCAGAGCACAGTGAGTTTGCATGCAGAAAACTGTTCTCTTTGAGCATCGAACGAATAAATGCTAGGAATTTTCTAGTTAGGTTGAAAAGTATTTAACGACTAGTAAATTGTCATACTGATTTGAAACATTCGTAAAAACCCTTTTCATATAAATGGTTACGTTGAATTGTTGGTTAAACCGTTGTTTTATGTAACTGCCATATTGAATTTAATAGTTCATGAAAGCATTTTTAACATACATTGTCAGAATAGTAACATCTGATGTATTCTCATGGTTATTGTCATATTGAACTGAAACCCATAAAACCCTGCTTACATGAATTGATGAGTTGATAAAAGCATTCTGATGTAAATTGTCACACTAAAACGCACAAAACTTCATAAAACATTTATTACATAAATTTCCAATTTAATTCAATGTTCATAAAAATATTCTTGTGTAAAATTTCGGATTGAACGTTCATAAAAGTTTTTCACATAAATTGTAAAATTTCTCAATCTATTCTTACATTAAATTTACCAATCGAATAGTTAATAAAAGCATTCAACGTAAATTGCCACACTGAATCATTCAGTTGTAAAACCATTTTAAGGTAAATTGTCACATTCAAATTGTAGAAAACGTTAAAAGATTCATTATAAGTTAGTTGACTTTTTTATAAGTTTGATAAGTTTTTACAAATGTTTTCCTTTGTCATATTCCGACTGGGTATC